ACATGTATACAGACAGACAGACAGACGATAAGAGGAGGAGATTTCTGTAAATGATTTAGAAAAAGAGGGAATGCGACAGCGAGGGGAATGCACGGGAAAAAATGGAAAAGGGTGTGCAAGCATGTTCCCGCCTGTTGCAAAGGAAGGGTTGACATTGCTAGGGTGTCGGTTCTCGACGGGCGTGGGTGGGACGGCCGCCCCTCCTCGGCGTGGGCGCGGCTTTTTTTTTGTTGTTTGTTCTGTGTGTGTGTGTGTGCGTGTGCGTGCGTGCGTGCGTGCGTGTGTGTGTGTGTGTGTGTGTGTGTGTGTGTGTGTGTGTGTGTGTGTGTGTGTGTGTGTGTGCGTGCGTGTGTGTGTGTGCGTGTGGTTGTGTGTGTGTGTGCGTGTGTGTGTGTGTGTGTGTGTGTGTGTGTGTGTGTGTGTGTGTGTGTGTGTGTGTGTGTGTGTGTGTGTGCGCGCGCGCGTGTGTGTGCGTGTGTGTGTGTGTGTGTGTGTGTGTCCGCCCGTCAGTGTCAGTATATCATGTAGACTAATTACACACTTAATATTACATTGTCTTTTAATTAATTTTACTTCAGCATCGTCGTCCTCCTCCTCCTCCTCCTCCTCCTCCTCCTCCTCCTCCTCCTCCTCCTCCTCCTCCTCCTCCTCCTCCTTCTCCTCCCCCCCCGGGTGGCCGACTCGCTTGTTTGTCTTCTGAAAGCAGGATCGGGAGGGAGGGGAGGGGAGAGGAGGGGGGATTGAGAGTCAGTCGGATCCCCTCGTCGCATCTTTTTACAGGCGCGTATATCACGTGTTAAAAGTATAAAACCTGCTTATTGCGAACCCCGCTTCTTGTTTTGAGCCGATTGGGAAGTGGCGATGGGGGTGGGAGATAGCGAACAGGGGGGGAGGGGGAGGGGGAGGGAGGAGGAGGTAAGGGGGTTGGGGGCTGGGGAAGATGGTAGATGAGTGAGTGAGTGGGTGAGTGAGTGAGTGGGTGGGTGGGTGGGTGAGTGAGGGAGGGAGGGCGTGGGAGAGGTTTTTGAATGAGGGGGGGGGGGGGGTGGTGGTGGAGGGTGAATAGGAGACGGAGAAAGAGGCGATGATGGAGGGAGGAGGAGGAGGAGGGCGAGAAGGAAGTGTGTTAGTATTAGGAGGAGAGAGCAAGGGCGCCACGGATCCTCTTGGTCTCGGGTTCCCGGAGCCTTTTATAAAGCGTGCGTGCATTAATTTGTTTATTTGCTGCCCCCCTTCCCCCCTCCCTGCCCCATTCCCCTTCCCCTTCCCCCGTCCACGACCCGGCCCACCCCTCCCCTCTCCCTCCCCTCTCCCTCCTTCACTCCTCTCCTTTCCCCTCCCTCACCCTAACTCTCTCCACCCATACCCCTCCCCTCCCCGCTCCTACCCCCCCTTCCCCTCCCCACCCCGCTCCTACCCCCCCTTCCCCCCCCTACCCCGACGCTCGCCGGGCGCAGTCATAATCTGTCTGGACAAGCAGCGGTGTGGCGGCCAGCAAGGCGTCGCGAGTGGTGGGGCAAGACCTTTTTTCTGCCAAGATGTTTTGTTTGCTCTGGTCGGACGCCTCCCCCCCCCCCTTCCCCTCCTCTCGTCTTTCCTTTCCTTCCCTCCTCCTCCTCCTCTCCTCCCCTGCTCTCTCCTCCCTTCTGAGCCTGCTTTCTACTCCCGACTTTTGTCCTTTTCTCCTCTCTTTCCTCCCCCTGCTCTCTCTTCCCTTTCTTATCTTGGACTTCTCACCCCTCCTACCTTGACCTCCCCTCCCCTCCCCTCTCCTCCCCTCCCTCCCCTCCCCTCCCCTCCCTTCCGTCCTCCTCTTGCTTTCCTTAGTACCCACCACTCCCCACTCCCCCTCCCTCCTCCCCCCTCCCTCCGCCCCCCTCCCCCGCCGCCTTTTCTGGCTCGGAAGTCCTAGAATTAATCTTGGGAGAGTGATTTGCAGGTTCTTGCCGCGTTGGCACGTGAATCTTTCGCCTCCCCATCCCCTCCCCCACCTACCTCCCCCTCATCCTTTCCCCTCCCCCCTTTCCCCTCGTCCCTGCTGTGCTCCCAAAATCAGGGTGTCTCTCTCTCTCTCTCTTTCTCTCTCTCTCTCTCTCTCTCTCTCTCTCTCTCTCTCTCTCTCTCTCTCTCTCTCTCTCTCTCTCTCTCTCTCTCTCTCTCTCTCTCTCTCTCTCTCTCCCCCCCCGTTTTCTCTCCCCCCCACTCCCTCCCCCCCCATTACTCACTACCAGCCATCACTCTCCCCCCCCCCCCCCTCGTCGCCCGCGTGTTGTTGTCGTTGTCACTCTGCCTGTCGCCCGGGCCGCGTGAGACCCATGTGCTTGTCTGCCCGTTGAATGGGGCCGTGGTCGCTTGCTTGCCGTGCTTGTCCTACACGAAATACGCCGTGTTAATTAAGGGATGAGAGATGAAAATGAGCCGCGCCCGATAAATCTCCGCGGGGTTGTTGTTGGCCGACAGTAATTAGGGGCCTAATGGCTTGTATAAATGCTTGTTCAGCCGGGGTATCGCGTCTTCGGGGGCCTCGCTCGCTCGCTTTCTTTCTCTCCGGCGGCGGCCTCCCGTGCGCGTTGTTGGGGGTGGGGGTGGGTAGGGGGTGATGGTGGGGGGGAGAGGAAAGAATGGAGGGGAGATAGGGTAGGTGGGGGATGGGGGAGAGGAGAGATGGGAAGGGGGGAGTGTTGGTTTTTATTTCTCTCTCTCTCTCTCTCTCTCTCTCTCTCTCTCTCTCTCTCTCTCTCTCTCTCTCTCTCTCTCTCTCTCTCTCTCTCTCTCTCTCTCCCTCTCCCTCTCCCTCTCCCTCTCTCTTATTTATATTTCTTAGCTTTGTTTTTTTCCCTTTCATTTTTTGGGAGCTTCTCTTTGTGGTTATATTTTTGTGTATCTTTCTCGGCCTTTGTCTGGATAGCCTTTCATTCTTACTGTGTCTTTTTATGTTATTTTGTGAAAAAAAACTTCCTTTTCTCCCAATATCACGTAGGAATCTTCTTGTTTTACTTTTATTATTATTATTATTATTATTATTATTATTATTATTATTGTTATTATTATTTTATTTATGTGTCCTTTTTTATTTATGCGTCCGGTCCCTTCCTTTCCATTACTCAGTCGCGTATCATTTCGGATAAACATATTTTCCTTGTAAATCCCAAGCTTACGTTGTCTTTTATCCCCGTTCCCTTCTGCCCCCTTTCTTTTTAATCTTCATAGTATGTTCATTTTTTTCGATATTTTTTCTTTCTTTCTATCTTTCTCTTTCTCTCTCTTTCTTTCTGTCTTTCTATCTTTCTTTCTCTTTTTCTTTTTTTTTCTTTCTTTCTTTCGTTCTTTCTTTCTCTTTCTTTCTCTTTCTTTCTCTTTCTCTTTCTCTTTCTCTTTCTCTTTCTTTCTCTTTTTCTCATTTTCTTTCTCTCTTTCTCTTTTTCTTTCTATTTCTCTCTTTCTCTTTCTCTATCTCCCCCCTCTCTCTCTCACTCCCTTTTTTTCTCCCTCTCTCCCTCCCTTTTTTATTTCCATCCACATTCCTCCTGTTGCCTCATGCTCTCGCTCGCCACCACTAATTATGCGGCGAGAGGTGGAGGAATCTCTGCCAGCTGGCCGCTCCCCTTTTTTCATTCTTATTTATCTTTCCCCTCTCCTCTCATCTTCTCTTTTTCTCCTTCTTCCTCCTCCTCCTCTTCCTTCTTCTCCCTCTTCCTCCTCCTCCTCCTCCTCCTCCTCCTCCTCCTCCTCCTCCTCCTCCTCCTCCTCCTCCTCCTCTTTACCCCGTTCCCTGCCCTTCCTGTGTTTGTTCTCCATACTCACTTCCTACTGTCGATGTGCCAGCTGTCTGATCCTTCCTACGACCCCCCCCCCCCTCTACAACCACTACTCCCCTCCTCTCCTCTCCTCTCCTTTCCTCTCCCTTTCCTTCACCCCTACTTTTCCCTCTCCTACATATTTCCTCTGCCTCGAGTCTTTTTTTCTCTCTCTCTCTCACATTTGCCCCTCTGTCGGTCTTCTTTACACTTTACCCGGAATTTCCTTCCTCCCCTTCCCTTCTCCTTTCGCCACCTCTGTACCTCCACTCCTCTGCACCCTTCCCTTCCCCTCTCCCCCTCCTTTCCCCTCTTCTCCCCTCTCCTCACCTCCTTTCGCCTCCCCTCCCCCTCCGTGGAATCTTCATTCATGTTGGTTTATTAGCCAAGGTGTAAGTAAAAGTGGGGAGAGGGGAAGAGGGGACAGAGAGAGGGGAGGGGAGGGTAGGTGGAAGGAGCAGAGAGATGGGAGGGAGAGGAGAGGGAGAGGGGAGGGAGAGGGGAAGGACCAGGGAGAGGACCATGGAGAGGAGAGGGAGAGAAAAAGGTGAGGGGAAGGACCAGGGAAGTGGGAAGAGGGGGAGAGAGCAGAGAGGGGGGAAGAAGCAGGGAGAGGGGAAGAAGCAGGGAGAGGAGGGGAGGGCAGCCATGGGGATTGTGTGTGGTGGTGGTGGGGGGGGGGTAAGCAAGACGAGTTGGCGCGCGGTTGAGATTGTGGCAGCCCCATCACGGTGACGCTGATGCGGTGTGTGCAAGAAAATGTAAGAGGTAGGGGTGGGGGTGGGGGGGAGGGGGTGAAGGGAGAGGGAGGGAATTGGAGTGTTGGGGGGGAGGGGGAGGGAGTGAAGAATGCGAAAGAGAGGGAAAAACGAAGGTAGTGATAATGATTTCCCTGTGTTTTTGCGTATTTTTGGTAAGTTTTTTTTTGTGTGTGAACGGTGTGTGTTTTGACTTGACTACGTTGGTATCTGCGTCAGTGATATAGGCGCACAATTTATATATATATATATATATATATATATATATATATATATATATATATATATATATATATATATATATATATTTATTTATTTATTTATTGTTGACCATATTTATACTTCTCAGGTATACCGCTTACCGGTATCTATTGCACCAAAAGGCATTTGAAAAAAAAGGAAAAAAAATATATGTTTACTAATTCACTTTTTCTCTCTTCCCCAGGGCCCGCCAGCCCCCGCGGCTCCGGGTCAGCTCAAGTTCACCATCGCGGAGACGTGTGACAGAATCAAGGAAGAGTTCAACTTCCTGCAGTCACAGTACCATGCGTGAGTGTTCGGTGTTCGAGTTTTGCAGGTGGTGGCGTGTGGAAAGGGGGGGTTTGTGGTTGTGTGTGTGTGTGTGTGTGTGTGTGTGTGTGTGTGTGTGTTTGTGTGTGTGTGTGTGTGTGTGAGATTGTGTGTTTCGTGTTTTAGATTTGTTTGTGCGTATGTACGTATATGTTTATATGTGTTTGTTTATTTAGTTATTTGTGTATATGCTTGCTCTTTTTCGCTCTTTCTCTCTCTCTCTCCTTCTCTCTCCTTCTCTCTCCTTCTCTCTCCTTCTTTCTCCTTCTCTCTCCTCTCTCCTTCTCTCTCCTTCTCTCTCCTTCTCTCTCCTTCTCTCTCCTTCTCTCTCCTTCCTTCCCTCCTTCTCTCTCCTTCTCTCTCCTTCCTTCCCTCCTTCTCTCTCCTTCCTTCCCTCCTTCTCTCTCCTTCTCTCTCCTTCTCTCTCCTCTCTCCTTCTCTCTCCTTCTCTCTCCTTCTCTCTCCTTCCCTCTCCTTCTCTCTCCTTCTCTCTCCTTCTCTCTCCTCTCTCCTTCTCTCTCCTTCTCTCTCCTTCCCTCTCCTTCTCTCTCCTTCTCTCTCCTTCCCTCTCCTTCTCTCTCCTTCTCTCTCCTTCCTTCCTTCGACAAATATATTTCCCTTCCCGGCAGCCATCTTTTATATCCTCCGCCTCTCCCTCTCCTTCCCTCCGGTTTTCCAGGCGGGGTTCGTCCGTGCCGGCGGCAGGGGTGGGGGTAGGGGGGTGAGGGGAGGGGGAGGAGGGGAGCGCGCGCCACTTTAATCTGATTACTTACAAATAATGCCCAAGTTACGGCCTCGGCTCTCCTTCCTCTCTTCTCTCTCTCCTCCCTCTCTCTCGTCCGACTTCCCTCCCTCTTCTTCCCCCTCTCCCTCCTCTCTCTCTTCTTCCCCCTCTCCCTCCTCTCTCTCTCTCTCTCTCTCTCTCTCTCTCTCTCTCTCTCTCTCTCTCTCTCTCTCTCTCTCTCTCTCCTCCTCCTCCTCTTCCTCCGCCTCCTCCTCCTCCTCCTCCTCCTCCTCCTCCTCCGCCTCCTCCTCCTCCTCCTCCGCCTCCTCTTCCTCCTCCTCCTCCTCCTCCTCCTCCTCCTCCTCCTCCTCCTCCTCCTCCCTTTCCCTCTCTCCCCTTCTCCTCCTCCCTTTCCCTCTCTCCCCTTCTCCTCCTCCTCCCTTTCCCTCTCTCCCCTTCTCCTCCTCCCCCCTTTCCCTCTCTCCCCTTCTCCCTCTCTCCCCTTCTCCCTCTCTCCCCTTCTCCCTCTCTCCTCTTCTCCTCCTCCCCCTCAGCTTCCCTTCTTTCTCGACCTTCCCTCCTTATTGGCTTCGTCGAAAGTGGCATAAGATACGGTTGGGAGGAGCAGCGGTAGGACGAGTGGCGGATGGATGGATGGATGGATGGAAAGATTGATAGATAGATAGATAGATAGGTAGATAGATAGATAGGTAGATAGGTAGATAGATAGGATTGATAGTCTGATAGATATAGATAAATGTGTGTTTTGAGGAAAGGAATGTGATGATGAGGATGATGAGCATTGTTTTCGATTTTTCTTGCTACGTCATTTTATTATTATTATGATTATTTTTATCGTGATTATCATTATCATCCTTGTTATTATTGTCATCCTTGTTATTAATATTCATGCTATTATTTTTGTTATTATTATTATTATTATTATTATTATTATTATTATTATTATTATTGGGGGAAAATAAAAGGTATAATCCCTACATCTGCGTTAAGTGACAGGAAAGTCTTAGTCTTAGTTAGCTCCTTCCCCCTTCCCCCCCTTCCCCCCTTCCCCCCTTCCCCCCCTCGTGTCGGCCGCCGGTTGGAGGGTCACACTGGCGGAGGCGAAGCGACGGCCGCGGGAGGAGGTGGCTTTTAAGGAGAGGTTTCGAGAAAAGCTTTTAAGACTGCCAGGCGAATTCCAGGGGGAGGGGGGAGGAGGGGGTAGGGGTGGCGGAGGAGGAGAGGAGGAGAGGAAGGCGAAGGGGAAGGGGGAAGGGGTTGGGTGTAGGTGGTGAGGAAGGGGGGGGGTTAGGGGGTTTAGGGAAGGTGGGGGTGGGGGAAGAGGGGATGGGGGGGATCTGAAAAGGTCGGCATTGAAAGGCATTTCGCGTTTTTTAATGTCGGGTGTTGGTCTTTTTACTCCTTTTTTTCTTTTTCTTTCTCTCTCTCTTTTGTTGTTGTTCTTGCCCTTACCTCTTTTCCTTTTATTTGGGTCTTTGATTGTTTGACCGTGGATGTGTTGAGGGGGGTTGTGGTGGTAGGGGGGGAGGGTGTTATTTTCGTTGGAACTGATAGGCCTAGATGCTCTCCCTTTCTCGACCCTCTAGTGATATATTTTTTAACTCCCCCCACCCCTCTCTCTCTCTCTCTCTCTCTCTCTCTCTCTCTCTCTCTCTCTCTCTCTCTCTCTCTCTCTCTCTCTCTCTCTCTCTCTCTCTCTCCCTCTCTCCCTCTCTCCCTCTCTCCCTCTCCCTC